CATATACGTTCATTTCTAACAATGTTTCGGTATCTCCCGGTTTCACTATACAGCATATGCGCTGATAAACGTAATCTAGTTAGAGCAATTCTATTTCGCTTTGGTATATATTTACATAAATATTGTTGCAATGTTAAATTATCAACTAAATGTCTATACAAAAAACATTTCGAGGAATTCTCTAATATTTCAAACAATTCTTGCCGTGCATTATCAAAGATTCTCTGTTTAACAATTGGCAGGGCAACAGACGGGTTCACATTGTGTTGATTCAACCACACTTCGCCAAGACCGAGTAAAAAAAGTTTGTCTTTCACAAAAGTTACCAAATTAAAAACAGTATTTCGCTGTGGCATATACATGAGTTCATCATAAGCAGTTTTAAGAACACAGTTCTTAGTATTTAAAAGCTTGAACCAGTATTTGATTAAATTATAATGTCTGGTATGTACAATTGGAAATCTACCCAATTCAAAATAGATCATTACATTGCATGTTGACTTCTTAACACATAATATCCTTTTGCAAAATTCCAGGTGAACTTTCTCAATATCTATGTCTTTGCACGAGCCCCATACCTCAGATGCATAACACAGTATACTGTTAACATATGTATCAAAAAGTTTAATCAAGGTATGGCAGTTTAAATTCAAATTTTTACATTTTGTATATAAGGCAAATACTGACTTTCGACCTTGCCCGGATAATTGCTTTTGTACAACATTAAATTTATTGTTCCATTTAAAAACGATACCTAAATAAGTAAACTGTTCAACGACTTCTAATTTGTTTCCATCGAAGAACCATTCCTCGTTATTACGTAAGCGGTCTCCATTTCTAAAGACAACAATCTTAGTTTTTGCCGTGTTAACGGTCAATTTCCATGAATTCGCATATATAGACAAACTAATTAACATATTCTGTAGCTCATTGGCTGATTCTGCAAGTAGCACCAAATCATCCGCATACATTAATAAAAAGAGACTGAGTTCTCCAAAATCATACGGCCTAATATCGTTCATGAACGGTCACGTGAGCAGGTAGCTGCGATAACGAGCTGTGGTCCATGAACGGTCACGTGGACAGGTAGCTGCGATAACGAGCTGTGGTCCATGAACGGTCACGTGGACTAGTAACTGAGATAACGAGCTGTAGTCCATGAACGGTCACGTGAACAGGTAACTGAGATAAGAAGCTGTAGTCGATGAACACGACAGTGATAAATCTACATTGATTGACCTCGTCTACATTATTCTTCGTCCTATTTATTGGAATCTTTCAGGATCGATATTGAAGACACAAACATTCTTGTTAAAGGTACTTTATCTAATAATAAAAACGAGGTTACACAAGACAAAAATAATAGATAAATCCAACACAGGTGAAACTACACGATAATATTGACTAGAGAATACTACAACTTCCCTTTGTTTAAAGATAGATTGTAGCTTTACACATTCATTCAAATCTGTTGATTATGTTCTGAGACCATACAATTCATGCATTACAGGATTTGACTAGAATTTGCCAAACATTGACTAGCTAATAATTATATTTATCATTGTTATGGTATCACTGGTGTTATTTGTGTGTTCGAATACATAGGTGTGTAGGTTTGGGCGGGGAATGGGACGTACACGACGTGTGACGGGTAGCACGTGAATTCCGTGGGGCAGGGCGGACCAATACAGGGTGTATAGTTTGTAGCGTCATTCGAGCTTTTGCAGCCATACAGTGCGCTCGTGGTTTATACTACTCTAGTTAGTCTTTTTCTCTGTGGACTATGAGCAAGAATCGAACCCTAAACTTAATAGTGGTGGTACTGGGGCCCCTCGGCGTCTACAGCGGGCCACAATGCAGGGGGTTTTGACGCAGTTGAGGCCTTTTCCTTGTTTTGACAACAAGTTAGATTCAATCAAGGCGGATTTAGGAGGAGAGACGGAGGCCAACAGGCCTAAATCAGACAAGTCTGTGAAGTTTAAGTCCCAGGGGAATAGAATCAAATTCCAGTTAACGATGAACTTGAAGTGTTAGTTGCTAATTTGCAGAGAAAACTTGAGAAACGAGATTTTGAAGGTTGTGTTGGGTTGGTGGCCGACCTGAAAACAAAACTGTAGAAACTTAACAAGTTGATAAGACTCGCCGACAAGTCCCCCGCCGGCTGGCAAACGGTGAAGGAGTTAAGGCTTATGGACAAAGGCAGCTCGATCAGGTGTCCGATAATATATTCATTTGGAAGCATGGAACTGTCGCGACCAAGATTGTCGTATTTCTTGTACTTCAATGACATTTAAGCGAAAGCTGCAGTGAGCTGTATTCTATATGGCAGTGTTGAGTTTTAATTGATAAATGATTTATGTTCGTTTGAACTGGTGAATTAGAACATAATGATTGAATAATATGAAATAGACACTGCCTTTAAGCGAGCGCAAGTTGGTCAACAAGATGCACATTTTGAACAGCCTAATCCATGACTGCAATGGAGCGTGTTTTTTAAAACGATTTTTAAAGATTTTAACAAAACATCTGTGATGTCGAGTGAGTCCAAAGAAATACAAACTAAACGCCTTTAATGAGTTCCTTTATTACATATACAAAGTTCCCAGTTCCTATAGCCATAGTTCACAATCATCACAAACACAGTGTAGGGGTTCTTGGTTGCACCTAGCTTGCGCCCCAACCTGCGGTAAAAAACTGAAAAATACAGAAATTAACCTGTCCTTAGTACATATTTCAACAAAATTAATCAAACTTCAAACGTTTAAACCGTATTAAAGTTACCTCATGGGTCACCTAAGCCTTGCTAAATCCGTAAGTCTGTTTCCTTTGGACTTTCACGTAAACATATCCCATGATGCATTTTTCCACGATGTACAAAGAATGAACTCTGAACCCTGACCTGACTACCAGAGCAGACGGACAATATAAAACTAGCGTTTCACTACATTCCTCGCCTGATTGCTAAATCACTACTACATTTAAACCCTGTGTAACCTGGACGAGCGCGACTCGCATAGAATGGCACAAACACATAATATACAATATATACAAGTTTAATACACTATATACACATTATAAATTGTACACACAAATGTAAATATGTACAACTCACTCACTCATTCAAAACACACACACTTTAATAATTACATATGAAACAGTATAGTCTGTCCTCAACGAATCTGGAAAGAGGTCTGGAAACGTCTCTGGACCGACTAACAACCAGCAATGTTCACAGCATCGAACAGTTGCCCATAGGAACGTCTGATGACAAATGTCCAACGGAATTCATAATTAGAGCACAACTGTCCACACAGCATAGCACCTGCCCACACAGGATATCAGAACATCTGTCCACACAGGACATCATAGCATCTGACCACACAGGATATTAGAACATCTGCACGACCATATAGGACATCATAGCATCTGCTCACACAGGACATCATAGCATCTGTCCACACAGGACATCATAGCATCTGTCCACACAGGATATTAGAACATCTGCACGACCATATAGGACATCATAGCATCTGCTCACACAGGACATCATAGCATCTGTCCACACAGGACATCATAGCATCTGTCCACACAGGACATCATAGCATCTGCCCACACAGGACATCACACAGGACAGCATCTGTCCACACAGGACTGTAACTGGCGGCTGTCCTGGCCCACATATGACTCTGTATTCTATATATGTATGTATTCTGACTGTGTCACATTCGTTCCCGCCATCAACATGGGTAGAACTGCAATCACACAAGACTACGTCTGACTATGCTGACTATATAGTCTATAATGATTCATAAATATTTATACACAGTATTTCTTCTATTTCAACTATTATTTGTGTATATACATTCATCTGCCTACATACAGTAATTGATATGAATCTATTCACTAATTCTAGCCTGAATTCCATGTAATTCATTGACATATTGACAAGTTTCGCTTATATTTATTAAATACAAACTAAATTCATATAACAGTTGATATCTTATAGCTATAATAGAGATATATTGAACTGTACTCATATAGCGTTATAAGCATATACATTTATCGATAAATATTCGCCTCAAATATCAAACACAACAGATTTCGGGCATATAATTGCAATATAAAGGCACAAGAAATGATTTCAAACTTACCGCAAACTGTATTTTGCGTTGGCTAACCCCATATAAGCAATAACTGACTGCCAAAATTTACACCGCTGTTCTCGCTTACATGTATATTTTCCTTCCGGCGAGACTAATTTCAAATATTCGAACTCGGATCCGGAGAATCCGCATTTATAAAATTTACAGCAAATAATTAAGAAAATAAAAGTACAATATTTAGACCAGATAATACCTGATTTCTTTCATCGAATACATGTACAAATAGTTCAGACATTGTTTGATATATACAAAAATGTAAAATATACAAAAGTATGGTTGGGACTGTGACACCCTGTAAACATTCATATTATTTATAACCCGATGAAAATATATAATATCAAAACTTATCTGAATAACAATAAACTAAAGTCTATAAGCAATAAAATTCACTTGTCGCTGTCAATGTTCAACACAATAATTCACTCTGCCATCAATAGTACTAACTGAGTAATAGGACGGATATACGAAACCGATCGTCCATTACGAATTGTCTTAACTCTGACTTTACGAACAAGACCATCGTGACTAGGGAAAACACATTCAACAATTCCCATTGGCCAGTCATTACGATGAGAGTCATGATCCTTCAGCAAAACAATGTCACCTTGTTTGAAGTTTGAACGTTCGTGATTCCACTTTTGTCGCGTTTGCAGCGATTGTAGATAGTCTCTTCTCCACGCGTTCCAAAATTTCTGGGCCAATACCTGAACACATCGCCATTGGGATCGAAACATGTCTTTCACTGAGAAGTCTACCAAGGTTAGATCTACATTTGGAACGCCAGTCTTTTGCGTAATGAGAGTACTTGGCGACAATACCACTGGGTTTTCAGGGTCGTCAGATACGGGTACCAGTGGTCGCTGGTTCACTTATAGCACACGCTTCGGCTAGAAAAGTCGTAAGCACTTCATGCGTGAGGTGTTTAGTGTCAGTATTACGCAACATGTTGTCCAGAATCCTTCTAACGGTACCAATAAGCCGTTCCCAAGATCCGCCCATATGGGAGGCATATGGAGGATTAAAAGTCCATGTGATGCTTTCCTCTGAAAGAAAGTCTTTTACGGCTTTGTCCTCGACATCAATAACATTCAAGTTAAGTTCCTTAACGGCTCCTACGAAGTTAGATCCTTTGTCCGACCTAATGTGCTTTACCGGTCCTCTGATCGCGATGAATCTCCGCAGTGCGTTAATGAAGGAAGATGTGCTCATCTCCTCTACGACCTCAATATGTATCCCTCTCGATACCATGCAACAGAATATTATAGCCCAACGTTTTGCGTTAGCTTGTCCTCCCCTAGTTTTTCTCGCGCGCACATTCCATGGTCCAAACGTATCCAATCCAATATAAGTGAAAGGCGGACATGGTGTCAAACGATCCTGCGGTAAAGTACACATTTTTTGTTCCACAAACTTTCCTCGGAGTTTCCTGCACACGACACAGTGATGTAAGATAGAGGAAATTAATCGCTTTCCTCCCACTAGCCAATAACCAGAAGAACGTATTTTACCCTCCGTAATATGTCGGCCTTGGTGTTCCGATTTCTCGTGATAATGTCTCACGATTAGAGTAGCCACGTGATGTTTTGCTGGGACAATGATCGGATCCTTTCCAGGTAAGTCAATGTCACTATTCTGAATCCTACCACTAATCCTCAGGAGCCCCTCGTCGTCTAGAAACGGCGACAATTTCAACAAAGAATTGTTCCTGTTTAACGGCAGTCCTTTCTGCAAACAGTCGATTTCCATCGAATAAAACTCTTGTTGAACAACCTTCAGTATGAGGTTCTTTGAATCGTTAGCAAAACGCAACACGTCTGGATTGTCTGTTCCGTTGTGATGACGATGCGTCGTTACCGATCAACGGAAATACTTGGTCTCTATACGAACTTTGCAAATCACTCATGACGTCAACGGGTCCGTTCAACCACACTGACTTTCCAACGTCTTTCGCACGCATTGGCCTAGTCGCACTATCGGCAGGGTTACATTCACTAGAAACGAAACTCCACTGCTGTTTGGAAGATAACTTCAGAATCTTGTCAATCCGATTAGCAACATAAACGAAGAAACGGCGCGTGTCGTTAAATATATACCCTAGTACTACCTGACTGTCGGTATAGTAGTAGGTGGCGTCAAACACAACATCGACGTGTTCGGATATAAATAAACCGAGTTCAGTAGCAAGAACAGCCGCGCATAGTTCTAGTCTTGGAATGGTATGTCCGTGGGAAGGCGCTACTTTCGATTTGCCAAGAACGTATCCAACAGAAGCATTTTCCTGTACGTCATAAATTTTCATGTATGCTACTGCGCCTATGGCATCCTTGACGCGTCTGAGAATACGTGTAGTTCACGACGAATTGCCTTTTCCAATGACGAATTGGAGTAACATCTCGAAATTTCTAACTGTTCCAGATCTTTAAGCGAAGACCTCCATTTTTTCCAATCAGAGTTCAAGTCCGGAGGTAAAGGGTCATCCCAGTCAAGATCCTTTGACGATAACACATTTCGCATTAATAGTCTGCCTCCAAGAATAACTGGTGCCACAAAGCCGAGGGGGTCGAATACACTATGTATTGTAGAAAGTACGCCTCGTTTGGTGAACGGTTTCACCTCATCAGAAACACTAAACGTGAACGTATCACAACCGACTTTCCAACGTAGTCCGAGACTCCTATGAACGACATCATCGAAGTCCATATCGCAAATTTCGCTGGTATCCTCTTTTGGAAACTGCTTTAAAACATCAACACTGTTCGACGAGAACTTGTGCAAGTGAATGTTTCCGTTTTGCCGTAATCGAGCTTGAGTGTCTCTCAACAACTGCACTGCGTGACCTTCGTCAGATACAGAGGTCAACCCATCGTCAACGTAGAAGCTCTCTTTGACGAAACAACACACCTCGTCGCACGCGGAAAAATCGATATGGTCGCAAGCAGATTTCCTTAATCCAAGTGTGGCAATACACGGAGAAGACGAGTTGCCAAACACATGCACGCACATACGAAATTCCCTTAGCGGTTGTGTGGGATCATTATCTTGAAACCATAAGAAACGTAGAAAGTTTCTGTCACGCTTGTGCACATAGAAGTTGAAAAACATCTGTTCAACATCGGCCATAATCGCAATTCGTTCCTTCCTGAATTTCATTAACACACCAACCAAATTGTTTATGAGATCCGGACCTGTCATGAGAATGTCGTTAAGCGAATGTCCATTAAACTTTGCCGCCAAATCGAACACGACTCGGATTTTGTTGGGTTTTTGGGGATGATAAACCCCGAATATCGGTAGATACCATGCTTCCTCGCCGTCTTGTAACTCGGGAGCTACCTCTGCATGCTCCTTGTCAAAAATGTTTTGCATAAACGCACAAAACTGTTCGCGCTTAGTAGGATTTTTCAGTAACGACTTTCGTAGATTTTCTGCGCGATGCCTTGCCTGATCCATATTGTTTGACAAAGTGGGTCGTTCCTTTTTTAGCGGTAACGGTGCACTCCAATTACCGTACTCGTCCTTAATAAACTCCCCTTCCATGACACGCATGAATTCCTTATCCTGTTGCGAGTAACCAGGTATATCATCGAATTTTGTTCTTTGAAATATGTCCATTCCAATTGGCAACTTATCGGATTTTTCAAACTGAGCCTTGAAGTAATTCGGACACGGATCCATGAGAGTAGGTCTGCCATTCGGTAAAACGACCGTTTTGCTCACAGTTATGACCGTAGGTTTGTGAACGAGACCTAGGCACGATTCTCCTACAACTACCCAACCGAATTTTAATTTCTGTGCATATGGTTCACGTTCATGTCCAGTTCGCTGTTCCAACACATGATGCGCCGAAATGAGATCTCTGCCAACGAGAAGCAATATGGGCGTATCGTTTTCATACTCTGTGATAAGATGAGCAATGTCCTGCATGTGACTATAGTGTCGTGCAACTTCCGGTGTAGGTATTTCTTGTTTCACATTCGGAATATGATTGCATTCTGTAATCAACGGTAATTTTAATGAGTATTCCTTGTCCAATGATTCCATTACGTATCCGCTGCCTTGCCTCCCGGTTACCTGAATTTCACCGGCACATGATGAAAGTACGTATCCGGTTTCCGTAGAATGATCTCCAAAATAATCGAAGAACTCACTTTTGGCCAATGTCTGATTGCTCTGCTCATCTATAATGGCATAAGCACGCAACACATTATTAAGTTGTCCGTCCTTGTAGATATTTACTAACACCGTTTTTGCACACGATTTCCCCACGAAGGGACCGGTTTCACCGCACAACTGTGTACACTTGGAATTTATCTTACGATTGTCTCCCCTGATACTTGTCCTTTCCTCGCCGTGAGACTGGCGGGGCTGATATTTGTCATCATGAAACATGGTGCAATGCGATGAACCTTTACACACAGTACAGATTACTTTTTCTGTACAGTCCTTGGCCAAATGTTTGTCCTTACAACACTTAAAGCACACGCCGTGTTTTAAGAGAATTTCCCTCTTTTCGTCCTTGGATTTCGATAGAAACAGGTGGCAACCTGATAACAAATGCTTCACTTCTCTCGCACTGTCATGAAGTGGGCACAAAAATGCTGTAGGCACATTATTAACTTCCGTTTTCTTTGAAAAGACGTATGCATTCCTACTTCCAGTAGACGCAGTACGACGTTGTTCTTTGCTGACGCTAGGTACCGCAGTACCATCGGTGTAATTGAAACTCGGGTTGTTCATTCGCGAGCTCATTTCCTGTATGAACCTCTCGAAAACACTGAATTTCGGATATGTAACATTGTGCTCGGTTTGATATCTGCACGCATAGTCAGTCCATTTGTTCTGTATGAACACGAGTAACTTGCAAACAATTGGGTTTATACCGCTGGACGAATCGTAGTACGCCATTATCGAGCTGAACGCCGTGTTTTCCTTTACTGCCTGAATTTCCGCCAATATGTTCGAAAGATCAAATAATTTCTGACCATCTCGGTTCGTTAATTTCGGGAATTTGTTTAGCCTTTCCCTCAAAGATAACTCAATTTGCTCGGGCGCGCCGTACTTCTCACTGAGCCTAGTCCAGATTTTACACAAGGCTTGGGGTGGGTCGTGTATGTTTGCAGCACGTAGACTTACAGCCTTTTTCGAGATTCTGGCCCCAACCATTTCGATAATAAGTCTAATTGTTCTTGAGGGCTTACATCAAGTTCCTTTACAACATTTAGGAATGACATTTTCCAGACACGATACTCCTCGGGTTTATCAGTAAACTGAGTGAGTCTACCCATAAGCAAGTCTTTCTTTAGCATAAATTTGGTCAAATCATTCAGTCCAGTTACACACTGACCTGGGGTGAATTCTCGAGCCTCAACGTTTAACGGCACTTTATGTGAATAGGGGTCGGATGTTTCATAACCAGTGTTCAAATTTTCGGCTTGACTTTGCACAAATTCAACTGTCCTAGACTTCCTGTGTAACTCCTCATCATCCGACTGTGCTTGTGAACAATGTCTGATAGGGCTACCAGTGTCAATAACGTCATCCATAGCCTTGAGCTCGGCTGCTGCCTCGTCCAGTTCTCTTTGTGATTTTAACAGCTGAAGGGATTTTTGCAATTCGGCCTCTTTCTCAGCAAATTTTAGCCTCACTTTGGCCGCTTCCAATTTCGCTCGTTGTTTCATATATACTGAACTGACCCTGGAGATGTTAGTTATGCTAGAACGCACTGAGGTTTTACTTGTTTTCGACTTTATTGACATAATATCCGAAACGCCGTTTTTATATTCACTTACACTATGCCGAGGATTTTCCTCGACTACAAACCCCTGTGAAATGTTATCGACCACAGATACAGTTTGAACTGGTTTTATTTTGTCAATAAATGATTGAATTTGGTCCAAAACCGTGTCACACTGGGATTTTAATGTTTCCACAGCTGTCATATGAGATAATAATTCTTCCTGGCCTTGTTCCGTTCTACTTTCTTCCAAATATTTACTGAATTTGGTTGAAAATTGTTCATAGGATTCATATGATTGGGTAATGTCTGATGCCAAGGATTTTAATTCATCCAAGTTCATATTTTCATACTCAATATCAGTTATGAGACAATCTAAATTTCTGTATAAATTTAACAGTCTATGTTTATACTTGCCGACTGTGTCCTCAAATGCCTGACGTGCCTTTTCCGTCATTTTGATGGTTCTTTTTCCCGGGTTTTCAGCCATGAGTTTTTTACTGTGATGTCGAGTGAGTCCAAAGAAATACAAACTAAACGCCTTTAATGAGTTCCTTTATTACATATACAAAGTTCCCAGTTCCTATAGCCATAGTTCACAATCATCACAAACACAGTGTAGGGGTTCTTGGTTGCACCTAGCTTGCGCCCCAACCTGCGGTAAAAAACTGAAAAATACAGAAATTAACCTGTCCTTAGTACATATTTCAACAAAATTAATCAAACTTCAAACGTTTAAACCGTATTAAAGTTACCTCATGGGTCACCTAAGCCTTGCTAAATCCGTAAGTCTGTTTCCTTTGGACTTTCACGTAAATATATCCCATGATGCATTTTCCCACGATGTACAAAGAATGAACTCTGAACCCTGACCTGACTACCAGAGCAGACGGACAATATAAAACTAGCGTTTCACTACAACATCGGCACACACAAATGTACCAATATATCATCATCTTTGACTACATATGTAGACTATAAGAATTGATAAAAAAGATCTTCAAAATAAATGCACAAGACTTTCCCTTTTAGAGTTACAGATATTGCAGAGAGGACTATCTATCATCTTTCCTTTACAAAGCTGTAACTCGCTATTTGTAAACACATCTCCATTTTAAACACCGCCATCGAAATTACGATTGTTGCCGAACCACGTCGGAAAGTTCATGACCTGATCTCGCGAGAGTTGAGGTTTCTACTTATAGAGGAAGCACATGCAGATATGTCTACGGTAAGTTTTTGTTTACAAACATTGTTTGCGAAGTCTTGTCGTAGACTTGAGGTATTCCTGTGATAAATATTCAGTTGTTGGGAAATTATTAGAAGGAATAATTAGTTTAGAAACGATACGACGCACAATTATAACGTTAGAATTCAGAACTGGCCTGATGTACGATTGGAAAAAAAGGAAGCGACTGGTGAATGTCTGTACTGTGTCTGCCATGTTTACACACGCGGTATATGCGCATGCGCAATGTCATCGCTACGAGCGGTAATGTATGAATTATTGTGGGTCCCACATTATTTTCCGATTTTTTCAATTTTTATTTAAATTGAAAACAGTCAGTTTTATTTTCTTTAATTAAAGGAAAGTGTTTGTTTTGTTACATATATTACGGGGAAAATAAGATAAAGTTTGTTTGTTTATAGTGATTTTTACGTATATTGGGGCTTTAAAGTACAGTTTGTTAAATTCATTTGAATTATGTAAGACTATTTCTTTTTCACGGAGGCTTAAAAAGATAATTTGTCAAATAATTTTAATCCATTCAACGTGTCGGCAATTTTCGATGCGTTCTGCCGCAAGTGTATTTTCGGTAATGAAGTTCCAGCCACACTTTCGTTTAAAGTTGATCGTATGGGCAGGTTGGTGGCGTTGAATTATCACACACACACACAATACCATAAAGCGCTCGCTATTATTATTACCAGTTCTTATGTGTCCATTGTCTTAGAAGTATTTTGCGCTGTAAAACATTGAATTTGTAGCTCTGATATTTTACTACACAAATAAGTATTTTAACTTTAAAAAATGTCAATCTGGAATGCTTTGATCCTTCGGGAAATAAAATGTAAAGCTTCATCTTCCCACATGACTGAATTCCATGCGAATGATTTTGGATTATATAAAAGACCGAAATTGTGATTTCAACACAGAATTAAGCACATGAATGATGACTAGGGTATGTAGACTGCCATCCCTACACATTTACACATTAGAGGGGAATATTCTGCCCCTTTTCACATAAAGCACATAAACGTCGTAGCGTTTCGGCTTGGAGATAACACGACCACTTCTTGACTTGAATGGAGAACTTGGAATGATTTTCGGAGGTCCTTGTGATTCCTTCGAGTTGGATACACCAGTGTTTTTCGCGTTAGTATGTGTGTAAAATAGAGTGTAGAAGAAGAAGGACGCAGATCGACGCTTCATATTTTTATTCCATTTAATAAAAAAAACCTACAAAGACAATACACAAAGAATTAAGCAGATATCACAGATATTACTAATCCTTACATGATGTACATGAAGTGCTCAGTGAATACATATTTCATATGTTATCACGCTAAAACTATTCAACAAAAACAAGAATAATAATCTATCTTTATAATGAATACTTTTATCATCATAAATATTTATCTTAGAATAGAAAATGCTTATACATTGTTACTATAATATCTATATATCATATTCATAATTGACTACAATCAGTAAAATACACATGTACCTACCCCAACTATGGGTCGGGGGTTTCACAGAAGAACTTCTGTATAAAAACTTCTTAATCTACGTGTATGGATTATCTGTAAAAGATACATACCAACACATACAGATCATGTATGAACAACATTTGCAGACAATATGAACGTTTTCGCCAATACTAATATGATTCTAATAACTTTATAATCTTTACCAATAATTTCAATCCTTATCGCTAATTCCAATTAAGACATACTTTTTCCAAAATTCACAATAATAAATAATAATTCAAAATAACCAAATATATCATTAGATTATATGACAACTAAATGTTGTACATACCATATATATGATCTTCAGGAAGACTTCACAGAATAGTAAAAATTAGGAAGAACCGGACTGTGTGTAACACGTCCGCGCAGTTCCTCTACAAATGTCTCTCTAAAACCGCGCCAAAAGCTAACAAAGACACTGACCACTATACCAAAACGAGGTAACACCTATATATAGAACCATAGAATAAGTAAACAGGTTAGACAAGTGACAGGTACGAACATACACGTATACAGGTACACAGCCTAGCGACCATACGCAGTGCACATACACACGCAAACAGCACAATAAACGCGGCGCAACATTAAATTTAATTTAAAATCAAGACAAATTATAAAACATCATTATTTGCACTTTGTTACATCCTCCCCTTACTTGAAATATGACGTCCTCGTCATGAACAATATCTATCAACCTAGACTATGACAATACTATCATCAATAATATTGCACAAATTCACTTAAGGGGGTATCATACATAAATTTCAGAATTATCAAAATTCCAAAATATAAAGTAGAAAATGTACAAAATATAAAAACATGAAAATATCTCCATCTGGTACAATAATGTGACAGATACAATAATTAAATCTGCAGGAATAATGTCAAAAGTGAAAAATTACACAAGTCCTAATATACTGTTGACAAGAACTTGAGCAACATCCGGTGACACTCTACTTAAAACACTCTGCTGTGCCAGCGTCTCTAACAATGCCATCCGAGAGCTCAAAGTTGTGTCCTGTTGTGATGATGATGCCTGTTGCCTAAATACGTAGTCACCAGATCTCTTCCAAGCAGGCGTTGCTCGTTGTCTGGTGCTTCGTCGAAGACCTCTATCAGCCTGCACATCCTTTCGTCCTCCCCCTCCTAAAGATCCATCCTCTCCGGAGAGCTGGTCGTCACCAGATGGACGTACAACATCAACCGCCTCAGCAACACCATGATCGTCATCCGGGTTCTGAGGTGGGATCACTTCCTGGGTTTCATCAGTAGGTACTGGTCCTTCTGAGATCCGGGAATCAATATCCTTGATATCCTTATAGTGGCAAGCAAAGTAGTCATCATCATCATCATCGTTGTTCTCGTCTTGCGTCTCAACTTCCTCTGGAGCACTATCTGGCAACAGTCTTCGTTTTGC